GTAGGATCACGGTTCCACCTCACTGGATCTCTTCCTTTTATTCCCCTGCATCAGCACAAGCAGCCCCGTGCTGGAAATCAGCCGTTTCACCCACCGGAGCTATCTCGACGACATTTGATCACTTATATCTCCACGTTGGAATGTCCCAGGAACTTACAACCCCTCCAGGTTGTAGTGGAGATCCAGAACATTAAAATGAGCCATCTCCCGCCCGGATCCGATGCTCAGGCTCCGGAGTAAATTGAGCACAATATCGCCCGCCAAAACACCTTTTTCTGCCGGTCGTTGGTTAATAGCTCCGYGGGGGGATGTCCCAGGAACTTGCAACTACCTCCAGTTTGTAGAGGAGGACCGCAGCTTTCCAAAGTCATCTCACTTTCCCGGATCCGATGCTCAAAGCCTGCAGGAGAAGCAAATGAAAGTTGAAAATTCCTCCCAAAACTATGCGTACTAAGTCGTGCATAATTTACTTATAGCTCCGCGGGGCAACGTCACAGAGACTCCATTCAAGCATCAGCTTGTAGGGCAGAACCAGAGCTTTAATACCTGACTAGTCACTCCAGGATCCAATGCTCCTCGCCCGGGGAGGGAGGCTAAAACCACCCCCGGCAGAGGTCCGACGGTGTGTGATTTTGGAGTTTTTTTGCTTGTATCTCCATGGGGGAACATCACAGGGACTCCACTCAGCCTTCTCCTTGTAGGGGAGAGCCAGGGCTTTAAAACCCAACCATTACGCCAGGATCTGACGCTCCTAGCCTGGGATGGGGGGCTAAAACCACCCCGGCGGGAGGTCAGATGGTGCATATTTTGGAGGTTTTTTGCTTATTGCTCCGCGGGGGAACGTTGCAGGGACGTTATTCAACTTTCACGTTGTAGGGCAGGACCAGAGCTTTCAAACAAGACCAGCCACACCAGGATGTGACACTCAAAGCCGGCGCTAGAGGCTCCGCAGCAAGGTTGCGCTGTGCAGGCACCTGGGAATCAGCTGGCGAGCGACATGTTGGGCACCCTTGATCTACAGGATACTTCCTGATTCTGCTTTGATTGAATCACAGATAAAACTGGTAATATGGCAACAGGTGGGTGATAATGTTTTACTGTCTGTTAGCAAAATATGATGAACCACTGGATATATATTAATGAAATTCTCAAATTATTATTACCTTTTGAAACAAGCTCAGGTAAATATTGTTTTACAGACTGAATTTATGATTTGACCAAACTCTCAACAACGTTGTCCCTTTGTCCATTTTCTTCCTCTTATCTGGGGTCGGGTCTCGGGGGCAGCAGCCTAAGCAGAGACCCAGACTTCCCTCTCCCCAGCCATTTGGACCAGCTCCTCTGGGGGAATCCCAAAGTGTTCCCAGACCAGCTGAGAAATATAGTCTCTCCAGCGTGTCCTGGGTCTTCCTCTGGAC